GATTAGAATAGTATTCATAAGAAAAATTGTTATGTAAAATAAATCGTTAATCATATAGAGTTCAATTATTATTGGACAAGAAAATGCAAATTTAAGCTGAAATGTTTTTCTATTTTGGTTTTGTAAATTCATCTTTAGACGAATTTTGAACAGAACTATCATAAATGGGAATGAAATCCAGTAGGATTGAGATTTCTTTGTTTTACTACGAATTTGTTGTTCAAGGTTATAAAAAATAGTTAGAATAAGTAAATGTTTACTTATGAATGGTTGACCTTGAGGTGGTGTTTTCTTTATTTCTCGTGAATTGTATACAATAGAAATAATATAGCACACAACTGTTAGATTTTCAAGGTTTCAACATTTGAACTAATCAATAAGACGGCATAAAATCACCTTCATCATCCATCCATATGAAGTGAACTGACAGAAGTTAACATCCATGAGCTATTGAATTCCGGCCAAAGTGGCTGAGTGGTCGACGAGCTTGGCCTCGTAACCTGAAGGCGCTGGGTTCCCTGGTGGCTGTGTTCCCCTCAGGTATTCTAAACCCGGAGAAAACAGCTGCCCAGTACTCCTGTGTTTCCAACGGCTTTCTAATTGACATTAATCCGTTATTAAACTTGAAATAAATCAAATTCATACAAAGTAACTTTTGAAAATTATTCTGATGCTCTCTAGGTACTGGCTACCGGACGAAGTTGCCGGGAGTTCTAATGAGAAGTCGTGATCAGTCCACTTGACACCGATTATAATGCTAACACTTATTTTTAACCATTGGGTATAATTTTCAACTTTTAACCTTTCTTATCAGGTTCGTAACTATCCAGAACATGTTTTTTTCTTTTCGGAACTCATCAGCTGAATATGTTGGTATTTCCATTGAGTGATGATATCCCCATTGGGAGGCATACATTTTCCTATGGGATTCAGATCAGCATTTGTTGAAACCACCCACAGCTTGTTGTCATTTTCTATTGTAGTCGTTCAAGTCTTTTTCAAAATTTTTAGTTTCATTCGAAATACAAATATATAATTCGAGATGCTTAACACTTGTTCTGTCTATATGAATTGATAATCTTGTTTTTAAGCTTATTTTATGCACTCAGAGAATATGACTACTCATTTGTATATACTATCATGGCGCATAAGTAACACTTTGTTTACAGTTGCAGTGTGAAAATTCTGGTTGTTCTCACTAGTATTCGTTCAATTATCCTATCGGTTTCTCTTGACACTTATTTCTGTTTCATTATGATATAATTTCCATATCGGTGTTTGTTTTTATTTCTGTGGTAATTCAAAATGCAACAATTTAATGTGACGATAGAACTCAGTCACTCAAAACAGTTTCTTCATGTAACTAGCTGTAAGATACACTTTGTGTGTGTGTGTGTTTATGGGGAGGGGGGTCTGATGATACCAGCCAGTTACTCAGGCTGAATGGAGTGACCTCTCTGTGATCCAACGTAGTTAGTGTTCCTAGTTTATTGTATGATTGGGAAGTAAGTTGGATGTTGAATTCCAATAAGTAAATTCTTTCCGTGTATATATGTGTTTTAATTTCTACGCAGTATCTTAGTTCGCTCATAAAATATAAAACCAAATTACTTTTGTTTTATCACCATTTTTCTGTGTTAAGTTTGTTGATACTTATACTGTACCAAGCTTACAACTATATAAATAAATCAGCATTTCCTACTTTCATGTTGAATTAGATGAAACTGTGTTCAAACTCGAGACTCTCTGGTCAAGAGTCGAGTTCTTAAGCAAGTGACGCATATTCCCGTGTCATCTATTGAATAATGATGCTCACTAGTGACTGGTCCCATTCAGGCAGTTAGTTACCTGGGGTTCTAGTGGGAATACGTGGCCAGTAGGGTGCAGCAGGTTGAAGGTGAGGCAGTAACTCATCGAAGAAGACATTCTGAAGTAGTCGCGCTATGGCATGAATTCGCAGAAGTTAGAATTCATGGACTGGCCAATGGATAGAGTTCCAGTGGCTCAATGGTCTACGAGCTAGCTCGCCTTGTAAACAAAAGGTCCTGGGTTCGAACCCCGGTGGGTGAGTAGTGATGAAGAGCCCAACACTAGGACGAAACAGCTGTCGGGTAGTCCCATGTTTTCCAGTAGTTCTCTTACTGATGTCAGCTCATGATGAAATCCTCCAACCAATCAGACAAAAAAATCCCTACAAAACCAATCCTTGAGAATAATGAATATTTTATATTCAAGTTTTATTTTGGACACGTGCAGGCACTGTTGTCATTTTTCCGTTTATTCCAGTCCCTTTTGAATGTTTCATTTTTGTTTATTTGAAAGCTAAATTGCGACAGATATAGCTCACCTAGCAGTTAATGTCATCAACAAGCACTTCTTCTAAATAGATCTCACTGTTCACGACCTCTCATTTGAACTTCAGATACCTTCATCCTGTTGTTAGTCAATCACTAGTGAACACTAGATTCGTTTTCAAGTGTTAGTTTGTAGTGATTTGATTGATTGGTTATAGGTTTGGTCACAAACTCACATCCCTTAGAGAACCATTGGAAAACCAGGCAGCACTGAACAGCTATTTCGTGTCAGCTTGGCAGATGCTAGAATTGACTGGCTGCTTTACATTCCATCTCGTTGTCTGAATGGTCAACGAACTTATCTTGTCAACTCAGAGTCGTAGGTCCTAGTGGGTATTACTGAAGAGTCACAAACTAGGACAGTTTTCATTGGTTCCCTAATTGAAGTCAGTCTGTGATAAAACTTGAAACCAATCGAATCCCTGCTATTCAACACTTGAAAGCTGAGTGTTTTACCCATTATATCGTCTCAGATAGTTTTTAATACCGAATTCTCGATTTGATAGATCCTGTTTAGCAGTAGAATATATGATTCACGTTTCATTTGATATGTAGGGTTCATCACCTCCCCTCTAGTGTGTAGTCCGTGTAGTACAAGAGCGATTGAATGACTCTGCTGGCTTAGCAGCGGACACAACACTTTGACTTCGGAAATTATTTTATTTTCACTATCATAAGGATGATTAAATGTCATCAGTCAGATAATTGCTTCGTAACGAAATCTAACAACTGAAATTAATCCAGGTATCAGTCTCCAGCTCATCGACGGCTACTGGATGCATGGCCCTGAAGCTGTAGTGAGAAGTCATGACCAGTAAGGTCCACCATGTCAAGGTGAACTGGATACTCAAAGAAGGCATTGGTGGGGAGGAGTTCAAAGTTAGAATTCACGGTTTATTGAATCCCAACCTAAATGTTTGAATGGTCAATGATCTTGATGTCGTATAACCTATAGATTCCTGATGAGATCGTGAGTGCATAATGTTGAAAGGTCCCTAAATAGAACGAAACAGGTGTCAGTTTCACCCTGGTTTTCAATGTTCTCTCTAACAACTGAAATCAAAGATAATTTGTCGTTTCAAAGATGTACAGGAACTTTTTTGTTTTAATGTACGTATGGCCATTTAGATAAATTAACTGTCGAGTTAGTATCAATTAACACAATAAATCGTACTGTGTTTTCAATATTTAACTTCTAATTTTAATGAAACAAATATTGTTTTTCGGATGTATTTGATTCATGCAGTGAATAAACTGACAGAGGTAATTAATTAATTGTCAACGTTTAAATTAGGTCACTGGTTCAAACTTCATTTTATGTACGTGTGTGTGTGTGTGTATCCTGAAATTAAAGTAATTGGATAGTATCATTATCATATATATTCACAAACCTTACTCTGTGTTTTTACTAATTTTCAAGGCCCGACTTAGAATTCATTATTGAGTCGATAAATGTATTAATGAACCTGTCAAGTTACTAATATTAAAGAAACTTTGACTTGGTTTTTGTCGTAGTTAGTTGGATGTCGGTATAATAAGACGATAGATAACATTATAGTGTGTGCATGTGTACCTTTTATAACGTAGTTTGCGAATATATATTTTTTTGATGCAAATGTGGATTCACATTTTTCGATAGCGTTAGTTTATAGCATTATGCCTTGTACAATAAACTATGTATACGACTTGTGTATTCATCCTATGTCGATTATTATTATTTATCTATTGACTGAATGACCCGGGCGACAACTGCTACCTTGTCGTTGTGGTCGGGCTTAAGTACTACATTGACCCTACAGGCTACACTGGCTGGGACTGATGTTCCTGCGGGTCCTATCATCTAAGGAAGGTTGTTTGGTTAGCGGTTAGACTAAAAGCAGTTACTATGGGGTACATGAGGTTCCAGAATCCAATCAGATCAAATGGCGTATGAACCTTTACTGGTCACCGGTAACCATGGAAACATAGCTCCTGACGCTGTTCCACTGCCCTACCGATTAAACTCCAAGTCAAAGGATGAGACAACTATTCGCATTCTTATTACAACACTGATGATATCTCAAGTGGTGCATTTCTTCTTAACCTCATTTTTAAACATAAGGTTGTCGTGTTTTACCTGTTTTATCCTTGAAATCTTCACTTTCGTCAGCCCTTCGCCTTGTCCGAATTCTCGGTCTATCTGTGTCTTTCTACGACATTAGTGAATAGGCTTCAAAATGGTGGTTTCTAGTGCAACAACTAACACAGGCTCCCCGAAACCGCGTGTTGCGTTCAAGCCGGCCACCTACAATGTCCAGACACTGGTGCGAATCGAACAAAAGACAGGTTTGATAAGGACATTGGATAGTCTCTCTGTCGATTTCTGCTGCACTTCTGAGACCAGCATTGAAGACTGTCTCTTCTCCACTTGAAAGTTCGAATAGTATGTACCACCTGCCCCTATCCGGCGACTCTATGGCGTCGGCATCTGGCGTTTGTGCCTCTGTGATGTGTGGCACATTTGTGCAAAGTTCTTCATTGAAAATGCAGTTCAGTTCAGTATGGTCTTATTCATACTAGTGATATTTATTATTTCACCGTATATATAGTGTACATCTTTTATTATTTATTGAAGTAAAACTTTCTATTTGTTTATTTTCCTCTCAGAAATTCAGGAGTTTATGTCATTGTTGACTGTCAACCTGGTACACATCAATACAAGTATTATATTGATGGAGCTTGGTATCATGATCCAACTAAAGTGAGTTTTTATAAGCAGTAGTAAGTGAGAAAAATTAAACTGAATATCGCTTACTTTGCGTTTTCACTCTTTCTTTGTGAAGCTACATCAATTGAGATGGTTAGGAGATGTGTTACTCATTCCTTCCTCGATGAGCAATGTTAGCTGACATAGGATTAGGTTGCAAAAGAGTTAGGGGTGGTCAGATCAAAGCATGGTTTCATCGGTCAATGAAATCCACAACAGTTAGTTTAAGCCACGTGGAGAGGTGTAGACTTCTTGTTTGGCGTCTGCGGGATGTTCAGGACCAATAGCTGGAGATAATTGGTGATATGGCACAAAATCGTTCTCAATTGTTAAGATACATTCACTATTGTTTTTCAGTGTTACTATTCTTTCTTCCTCACATTTCTGCTTATTGTCGTTGTTTAGAATCTCTTTTTTTTCACTTGTGTTTTCCTTTATTTGTTACATGTAGTGTGGTAACTTCAACTGCTGTACTAGTGTGCTTAGTTCTATGTTGGAACTAGTCAGTCGTTCAGTCGCCTTTGGTACACTGGTTTTTAATAGCTTTGATTTAAGGCTTTGAATATTATTCCACTAACTTTCTTACCTTTCACTTTTTGTTTGTCCTTGGAGATCTCTGTGTGTTAGTGGAGAGATGAAGTAAGTGATAAATGTACTGGATAGCTTCTCTTGGTGCATCACGACCACCTCGGTGCAGATACAACAGATACTCCTACTCGGTCACTGGAAAGTAGTTTATCAAGACATTCATGTTTCTAAGTGTTGATTTGTAGGGATTTGATTGATTTTAATTTTTATCGTGCATTGATTTCAGTTAAAGAATCACTGGAAGACCAGGTAGCACTGGAGTGTTGTTTTGCCTTTGTTTGAGACTCCTCATCTGTACGCACCTGTGTGTGAGTAAATAGGACAGACAAACCTCGTATTTCTTTAACCATATGCATTTACTGTACTATAAAGCGTCATTAGTGTGAAAATGTTATTTCTCCTACCAGCCATACGATTACTTTGGCATGGTAGAACCTTAAAAAAAAATAAGATCTAAGCACCCCTGCTAGTTAACGGTGACTAGGTTATCTTATCAGTGTAATATCTCTCACTTTTGAGCAGCTGTTAAGTCACTAGTACAACAAAATTTCTATGTAGAACAGGATTCAAGAAAAGTGCACATGTTATTTAGCTAGTTAAAACTCAGCTAACTGGAACAGAGTTTCTATTTTCGGCATAGAAATTTATACAACAGTTCAAATTACCACACTTCATGAAACGACAAACACGAAGGTAGAAGTAAGCAATTCACAGAAACTGATTACCATACCTCTGTTCGCAGCCAATGGTATGGTTTTCGTATAGATTCACCTCCCAAAATCACTGTGAACAAGGTCTCGTGGTTGATTTAAGTTAGTTGTCCCCTTGGAGTCTGCAGTCTTTCTATTTCAAATACTCTGAAAAGATATTTTACATATCAGGGTATAAGCCTATACTTGTTGTACTGTGGAAACCTGAAGTAAATGGGGCAATTTTTTTACATACCTGAAACGAGCGCCTGGGTCAATCAGCCACATATTCCACCAAGATGATTTATAGTTGAACTATCTACCACAATATAAGGTAATTAATCTAACCACACACAGATAAGTTGAAAGCCATTTCTTCTTTGCAACTATAAACATTTAGTTAATATAATATGAAATTGTAAACTTATCATAAAGAATTTCTGTGTATTTTTCTCTGCAAACAAGAATGCACAGTACTTCTTCTTACATTAATTAAACTATGCAAGCTTACCTTTAAGCTGTACACCTAAAGGGCAATATTGATAGAGTCGCCCCAGCCAAAGTAGTAGCTGGGGTGTGATTTAAACCTATAACCCACTGACTAAAAGTCAAGTGATAAGAAAAAAGGTAACTTGCCTAATTGTATGCAGTCTTTTAGCTATTTGTAAGATGTCTTATATATTATCTTCATTTGTTTTTTATATAATATCTGAACTTCCCCGTATTTTTTTGTTTTTTTCTACATTACTACTTTATTATTTTTCAGCCAACTGTAGATAATGAATATGGTACAAAAAATAATGTTGTATGCGTTAATGAATCAGATTTTGATGTTTTGCATGCATTAGAACAAGATCAAGCGTGTAGCCGAAAACGTTCAGATAGTTCTGATTCTACTGAAGTAAGCCATACTGTTATTATTATTTTTTTTAAATATAAATGTCACTATTGTTACTAATCCTATGTATGACTACTTATCATTCATGTGTTATCTTCATTGTAGTGTTGTGTTATAATGTATTCTATATACAATAATAATATTCTTTTTTAATCCTTTACGTTCCCAACCGAACATAGGACTCCAGGCTAAGGCTTTTTGAAGTTTCGGTAGCAGTGGTGTTTATTTTTACGGGATGGGTTTGCTAGCCTCACGCCCAACCTTCCCTCTTTACCAGTCTTATTATTGGCTTACCGAGGTTTAAGAGTGCGTCGGTAGGAGATCGAAGCCTAAACAACCTGTGTGGTTGACGAGCATTCTACTGCTGTGTCGCCGATGCACACACAATAATAATAATAACAGGTTTATTCTGGACAAAATGTTTACACAATGCACTGATTTCTCAATGTGATTTTTTGTATGATATTTCACTCCATTTAAGATTTTTATGTTAAATAAAATCCTGGAATCCAATGCTTATTCATTTTGAAGCATAGACTTAATCCCTCATGACATTTTTCCTGTATCTCTGAAAAATCCACACTAGTAGTTTGTAAGCTAATCAAAATATTTTGCCTGAGTACATTTCCCCACTCCAAAGCCTCAGGATGGTCGGGGGTGGGTGCCTTGCGCTGCGGGTTGGCCACCCCTCCGCACACCTCTTGAAATGCTCCCATATGACCGTGCGTCTTACATAGCCTCTCCTGAGGAAGTCCTACACACTGCCTTCACGTGGCGGAGGTGTTTCTCACCAAAGTGAGAGGGCAAAAGCGGATGCCCGGCGCTCCTCACCGGGTTGACTGTCCATTGGATGACAGTCTAGGGGAGATGGCTAAACCCTGATTCCAAACCTCCAACGACTGGCGTATGAAGCTTACTGGAGCTCACCGGCAGACGTATGGACAAAGGGCTTGTTGGATGTCCTGGATGTCTGGCCCCATTCCAAAAGGCGTATGAACCGAACTCCGGTCACCGGCTGCCAATGGATAGTGGACTCCTTACTCCACTCCTACTGCCTTGTAGGTCACACTTGGCTGTGTAAAGGCTAGAGCTGCACTCTCAAACAAAAGGCCGAGCGACGCTGGGGACATCACTCGTACCAAATTCCCATGAAACTACATGAACTCTCTTACAAATTGCCGCGCCTGGGCAGCGATGATTCGAGACGTTCATGAAGCCGGCTCATCCTCCCGTAGGAGATAGCCGAAGTAAAGTAAAAGTAAGTAAGTATTTCCCCACTCCAAAGCATAATTGAATGGTTAAAACAATATGAATTAGAGAAAGTATGCCTCATTGTGTTGATTGGCAATTTAGGTAGCCCATTGATTTAAACATACCACCAGATTGTCATGTAATGATGTAATCACTTCTAGTTTTTTTTTTACTAAAACTGCTTGACTGAATTTTCAACAAAGAAATTTGTACAGAAGCACCGTAGTAGTTCAAGTTACCATACTTCATTAAAGCATACATAAAGGTAAGCAAATGCTAAGAAATTAGATTAAGCCGGAATTTGAGAGGGGAAGAATTATTGCATGGAGAATATATTAAGAATTTAAGGAGTCTGGGAGATCATCAAGTGTGAATATCGATTTAAGCCATGTTCCCAGCCATTGATTCTTAGCTTTTCTAGGACCCAAGTAATAGCATATTGATTTTAAGTGAAGAAATAAATAAATGAACGCACGTAGATTTTTTATTTTCTTTATGTGAGAAATGAGTATTGAGATATCATCCATAATTTTTATTTCACGATAAAACATCTACAATCAAATATGTTAGGGTTGTTAAAAGAGAATGAAATAATTCCTGGTGTTCCATTATGGGTAAATTTTTGTTTTGATAAAGTGTCACAGTGTTATACAGTAATGTTTACTGATGACGTTTCGAGCACAATTTATTGCTCATAATCATATCAAGGGTGTGTTCACTTCAGAATCAATATATCCATTATTATTTCTAAGACAGACATTCAAGTTTAATACATAGATATAGAATCCTGTTAAGTGAATATCTTGTTTACTACTAGACATGGACTACATCTTAAATATATGTGAACTTGATCCAAAAGAACTTGAAGCAACCATTCAGATTAGACTAAGTTGGTTTAGTTATTGTAAATATTAGGTTCTAACTCATGTATAAAGCTTAAACAGTACATCTCCACTTCCTTGACTCTCTATTTGTTGGACTATAGTTTCTTGGTTGTTTCGTCGACTGAGTTCTTCTTCATTACTAATCCTTTCTTGCCATCTGCTTTTCAGTATCAAACGAAGACAGCTGTTGATAAAAGTCAGTACCAATCTGTTGATTTCCAGACTGGTTTCAGATTAACGAAGGTCCGTCTTGACTTCCTGATCGTGGTTTTGACATCCTCATCCCTGCTGGCCATCTATAGTTGAAGTGATGCTGCCTAGATAAGTGAAAGTCCTGTCTTCACCACCCGTTTCTTCTGCCAATTTGTTGGTTTCCGCTGGTAGATGTTTAAGTTTGTGTGACATTAAGTTTAGATATTCTAGAGAGGGTTTTCGTAGGTCCAAAGTATGCCGCTCCTCTCGCTCCCAACAGTCTTTTGCATGATCCAGTCCACCACAAACAATAAAAAAGAGGTTTAAAGGAGTATAAGAATGTTAAAAATGTCCCCTACTTTAATATGTTGCAAGAATCACTCCCAGTTCCAAATACGAATGTCGCTAATAATCCAAATAACCGTAGTTTAGCTTCAGCAGATATAGAGTTACGAGATAGAATGTACGAGTTAAGGTTAGGATTTCGTCTAAAGCAATCTTTTATGGATTTAATCTACTCCAAAACTGCATAACTCGATTCCCCTGTTTCGACTTCATCATTACTTACCCAGATTATCTGAATGAACACTTCAACGTCTCGGGTCACCACTTTTTCAACCCTATGTACTTCTCATCTCTTTTGGTTCAAGAGACTGGATTTTACAGTTGTTTTCTCAATGGCAGCACATTATCTTTGATTATGATTCCTGATTTATTATCATAGGTAAATTTTCTCAAAGCAGGTTAACTACTTTAGCCGTTTATCTTTGTATGAATATTAACGGTCAGCCACCAACTTTTCACAACCGCTTATATTTGATTTTTGAACTATTTCTAGTTGACGCAGAGGGCAAACTAGTTTAAGTGGTGTGTACAGATAGAAGACTCGAAAGTGTTATATATTTAAGACTGAAAATTAGTCAAAAGTTGGTCATCCCTTGACAAAGCATAAATGAGACTAGATGTCGTCTGTTGGTCCAACCATTTTTGTAAACCTGCAAAGACTAAATTCTAATTAGTCCATTTTTAGCCCGCCTATTCAACCCACTTTTTATTTCAGTTAATGTCTTCACCAATTTTGGCAGTAACTTGTGAACTAACAACCTGATTCAAGAGATAGACAGGCTATTGAATTGAATTCTTGATTTTCCCGTCGATTGATTGGACCGAAGTGTTCGGTCTCAGGTTGACATGTCGGCGTTTAAAACTGTGGGCACTGGGTTCGAGCCTCGGTGGGAACATCATCACTCACTGAGAAATGCAGGTACATCCAGATGACGAGTCCCAATTAGGACGAAATGCGCATCCTGGATTCCACTGCTAGTCACCATCCACCAATTGTAGATAGACAGGCTGTCTGTATTATTGTGTACATAGGATACAAATATTTGAACCTTTCTGAGTTGGTGCCAATAGAAGCGTTTACGCTTGTAGTGTTCACACTGCACCCAGATTACTGACTACCAGTCAGATGGTAATTTACATTACTTCTCTTACTCCATCAGTCACAATGTATTTGACAGCACAGTAAAAAAAAAACATTGACGTTACTAATGCATGGAGCATAGAGAACTCTAACAGTGGGTTGGTTCAAATTGGAAGCGCTGAATAGGTAGTTTGTAAAGACGAACTGCTGTGTTTATTTCCTGAAATAGATTTGCACTGAATCTTAATTGGAGCTTGCAGTCTGGTAGTAAGAACCACAATTTAGCCGATGATATAAGACATGTTACTAAGTCATTAGAATACAGAATTATGAGTAAACTAATATTTGAACACATTTATTTTTTGATGTGGTTTTGTTCTCTGAGCTGGATGGTTAATTTGCGAAGCTTTCATCATCATCGATTCTACGACAGACCCAAAATACACAAGGCAAATATCCCGTTACGACCAATTGTATCACTCCCAGGAACTCCAACATATAATTTATCCAAAGAATTATACAGAAAACTAAAACACCTAACGGAATCTTGCGATCACTCCATCAACTCTGCTATCCAATTCCTAGAGAAAATCAGAGGCATCCAAATAGATGAACAAGAAATAATGGTATCATTCGACGTGACAGCATTATATACCTCCATCGGACAAAAACTAGCAAAAGAAACCATGGAGCAATTACTTAGCAACGACGAACAACTTCCACAACAATCAAAAATGCAACACACAAGCTGGATGGAATGCATAAATCTATGCCTAACAACATACTTCCAATTCAACGGCCAAATATATGAACAAGTCAAAGGAACACCCATGGGATCGCCAATATCAGGTTTGATTGCAGAAGCAGTGATGCAAAGACTCGAAAACATAATTCTACCAAAGATCAAACCCAAGATTTGGATACGCTACGTCGACGACACATTTGTAATAATCAAAAGAAACGAATTAGATAAAACTCACAACTTAATAAACAACGTCTTCAACGACATCAAATTCACAAGAGAAGAGGAATCCGAGAACAAAATACCATTTTTGGACGTCTTAGTCAGGCGAACAACTACAGGGGAATTAGAAACTCAAGTTTATAGGAAATCAACTCACACAGACCAAATACTGAATTACAACAGCAACAACCCAATAACACACAAAAGGAACTGCATACAAACACTATTCAAGAGAGCAAGGACTCACTGCAGCACTCCCACCTTAAGGAAAATTGAAGAAAAGTAT